GTTGATTCAGCAAAGTCAGATGTCTCTGAACTGGGCTGTTGGAGGGGGGAACCAGGGGAAGCACCTCAGTCAGGATCTGGTCCTCGCTCTCACAGGGAGTAAGATCCCATGAGGGTATGGAACAGCAATGACCCTTCTGTTTCGTCCTGCCCGAGGGTTACTTTGACGTGCGTGTTCTTTTATATCCTATTTATGCTGATTTTTTAGTTATATAGCCATTCATAATGTTACTTTATAGCTGTTATCCTATGGGGTTAAAAGGTGTTAGAAATCATTACAATAAGTCACTGCCCAAGCTTGGGTTTACCCAATAAGCAAATTACACCACATCACTTTGGAGTTTGACATTAACATGTCCCCACCTAAGTTCAACCCACTATGTTAATTATACCTTGTGATTACATTCATTAGTTTTTTTTTTACTAATTCTAAGCAAAATTTCATAAATCAGCTATGTCTGTGGCTATAATTTTCAGTTCTGCTTTTTAAAGTTCATGCCATCTGGAGATTAATACAAAATGCTATATATAATTCTTCCAGACAGGGAACTGTTCCATTAGCTACTTCTGCAGATACCTCAAAAAGCAAATTTCTTTGGTTAAAGCTGCCCATTTGACCCTTCTGGTTTTGGCCATCACAGCTGGGGCCTTCAGCAGCGCTAGGATGGGGCTGGGTCCCGTGCAGGTCCATGGCCCTATCCCAACGCTGCTGACGGCCCCAACCTGTCAGTGGCACTGTGCTGGGGCCCATGGTGGTGTTGAGGGCTAGGGCTAGGCCCACCGGCAGCTGGCATCACCGCCAGAGCTGAGGCCTGGGCTCAGCAGGACCCAGCTGGATGCTGGGCTCATCCTGGCACTGAGCTGGGGCGAGAGGTGGAGAGGCCAGGCAGGGCGCCACCCAGCGGCAGCATGTGGCTGGGGTTGGGCCCCCCAGCAGTGCCAGGAAGGGGCCCCGGCCTCATCCTGGTGGTGCCCATTGCCCCAGCTCAGCAGCGGTAGTGGAGGTGCCGGCCAGGGCCAGGCCCACCTGCAGTGTGTGGCTGGGGCTGTCTGCAGCACCAAGATGGGCCTAGGCCCCAGCACTGGGCTGGGGCAGGCGGTGGAGGTGCCGGGCAGCACCCAGCCTGGCAGCAGCATGTGGCTGGGGCCAGGCCCACCAGCCACACAAAGATGGGGCCCCAGCCTCATGCTGGTGCTGCCAATCGCCACGGCCCAGCAGCGGCCCTGGGCTCCGGCCTCATCCCAGCACTGCCGACAGCCCTGGCCCGGTGGCAGCACATGGCCAGGGCCAGGGCCGTCTATAGCGCCGGGATGGGTCCAGGGTCTGTGGTCTGCAGCCCTGGCCCTGGCCCCATCCCAATGCTGCTGATGGTCCCCTGCCTGGTGCTGGGGGCAGGGCTTGGGTTTGGGGACAGGGGCTCTTACCTGGCTGAAGTTGGCGGTGTTCCGGGGCTGGGGTCCAGCAGCAGCAGGGGTTAGCAGCAGCACAAGGCTGTTCCCAGGCAGCCATGGGCTGCTCAATCTCGGCACACCTCTTCGTGCCCCTTGGGGCAGGAAGCAGCCCACGTGCCAATAAAAACCATTCTGTGTGCCACATTGGGCATGCGTGCCATAAGTTGCCAACCCCTGCTTTAGCATGTAGACAAGGCCTTACCTTTGTACCCCTATGCTGTGTAACAATACTGAAGCATATGGATGTAGCTTATACTTACACTGCTGACACAGTCATCTAACACAAGTGTTAAGTACAAGCAAACAACAAACACCTCACATGAAAAGGGTAAGTTTAAGGCCCAGTAGATGTGAAGGCTTATTTCATGCATCAGGGGAAGTAAGACTACTGAGTTTCAGTTCTCGTCTAAGATGTGGCTGTGCCATCATAGCAACTTGGAGTTAACCAGGTGTGGAAGTCCCTTGTGGGATCTCTGCCCGTAAATACAGTGGTGCTTAGCCTATGAAGAAAAATAATCAGAGCCCACTTAGTTTGAAATTATATTAAATATAAAATAACCAGTAATTTAATGCATTTACAGAAGTTAAAGTAACCACTTTTATACAGTTTACATAAACTGAAGGAAGGATTAAGGTATTAAGGCATAGTGAATCATACACCATTTCATACAAATAAGTTTATTCCCTGGTCAATGCAACAGAAAGTACAAGAAAACTAACAGTAGTGCAGTTGATACTGATACGTTCCTGGCAGAAAAGGCTCAACACACCTTCTCCCTCAGCAGCAGATCTTATTTATAGATAAGTACTATGGGTCTTTGCCCTTAGAAGAAGTTGCCTTTGACAACTTAAGCTCTATTCAGTTTTTTTATCCCTCCCCCATCTGCTTCTAAGGTGGGTTTTCCCCCCCATCCATAGCTGACTGACTGTTTCTTGCAGATGCTCATTGCCAAAAAGTAACAGTTAACAAACTAGCAAAATCCAATTTAGTCAAAATTTGAGAGATAACAAACAGGGCCTCAAGGCAACACGTTTGCTACTTAGAATACAAGGAAAGGTACTCTTCCACTCTCAGCCCCTTTAGGCTGCTGGAATAGTATAAAAGGACCAGAAAAGACGTAAGGTGCAACTCCCCTGCACAAAAACTCTAGAGCTGCCTCAGGCAGTTATGGAATCTCAAATAAAGTGGGTGTACAGGAGCTGCTTACAGTACCATAGCCAAGGAAGACTGGCACAGGTTATGGAAGCCTCTAGGGACCAGGGAATCAAAAATAAGCAGTCAACTCCATCTAGACCGTACTGCTAAGATGCAGAGTACAAATTCTTACTCAAGTGTCCTAAGCTTTAGGAAACCTGAATAAAGACTAAGTGGTTTTCATTTAAATTAATTTTTAGTCACACGACAAAATTAGTGGAAGAGACTACAGACCACATGGGATACTTTTTATGAACATTTTGCAGTGATTATGTCGGAGAGCCCTCCTAAAGCAGTCACATCTGATTGTCCTGACATAAACTGTTTCTCTTGTAAGCTGGGATGGAAAAATGATTACTGTAGGTAACTGTTCTCCCCTTATTTGTTACTTACATCTAGTTTTTGAAATGGGAGCATTTCCAATACAAAATTGTAAATTTGGAAATGTTAAGACAAGCCTTGTCCTAATCTCACTTAAATAGCTTTTATAATAAATCCTCTCCCCTGAAATTCTTTCAAAATAATCTTAATTCTTGAGTAATAGTCAGGTTTTTGTTGGGTTTTTTTTAATGGAAGCCATTACTAATATTGAAAATAAGCCTGTATTTTCTTTGAGTTTTTTCTTCTTTTTTTTAATACTTGAAAGAAAATGGTTACAAAAATGAATTCCTCACTAAGCTATTTGTCATGACATGCAAATATTCTATTCAGGTAACAATGTGGGGAATTTACAGCATCATTTAAGCAGTGCCTTAAGAAGTCACCCCTTACTGAGTCTCTCCAGTAGACCAAAATTAGTCCAATAGCACACTTTAGGTATAGGTAAATGCTTTACACAGAATGTCTTCCAAACAATTTTTGACAATTGCAGCGTTTAATTCAAACCCAGGAGTCCAATCTCAATTTACTTCCTAGAACCATTATTACAGCCTATTGAGACTATGTATTTGACTGTCTATTAAACCTCTTCCTTACAAACAGTGAGAATGTGCTTTACACAGTTGATGCTAGTACTGTTCTTTACCAGGCAACAGAATTAATCTGAGCACTGCTAACCTCCATGGCTGATGCAATGTTAGCTGAGCAAGTTCTGAATAGAGCTTTCAACCTCCTTTTATAAGAGGTTGTTTTTTTCATCAGGCACATGTGGAGCCACCTTTAGTTTAAAGCTTGTGACTAAGAAATAAATACATTAAATGGTGACAATAAATAGGGAAACTGTGAATTTGGAAGTCATTAAGATACCTTGCGAAGCTATAGGCAATCAGTTCCAATTAGTCAGACAATCTATTCTTAGAGAACTAAGTTTCAACAACATTGTATAAATACAAAACAGGCTATTAAAAGGTAGAAAATAGTATTCTGTCTTCAATCCACAGGTGTCAGAGGTGCACTACATGCTCAGTGAAAACACTAGAGACATTTTTTACCTGCTGAATGGAAGATCAGAGCACTGCCTTTCAATTTGGATTGGATGTTTTGTAGCCCACCAGTTTCAATACACAGGTCAGTTCGGCAGACTGTCAGCTTTCATTAGACAGATGTGGACCGGACAGACATTACTTGGCTCTTTCCTGACCACTATGAGCTTTAAGAGTTTGTTCCTCTCAACAAGTATAGTAAGAATTTTCCAACATCTTTATTGCCAGTTTAAAAAGCTGGACATTTTACATTACATAGGAGACATATGTTTTAAGTAGGGACAGGAGTTAAGTCCTGTTTACTTTCCACAACTGACTCGCAGTCTCCCTCGGTTTCAAAATTGAGGTTCACAAATGAGCTACATGACGTTGCCTCAGGCTGATCTGTCTGGACAGGCGTCTCATCCTGTGGCTTGTTGTGCTGGTCTTGATAACGTCTCTCTGCTTCTTCTGACATTTTGTTCTCCTCCTCCTCCTCTTCCTCCTAAAAAAAAGAATTCCACAGGTTCCAATACTGCCTATACATTTATCCCAGCTCCTTCAGCTTCTAAAAACATCTTTGGGCTTTCAAAAAAATTAAAAGTATTTTTGAAAGAGGTAATCAAAGAAAGCAAAACATTTACAAGTCGGTGGTCTAGTCTGTCAATCAGTTACTGTTTTGTAGTCCCGCTTTTCGCTCTCTCTCAAAACTCAAGCTGAAGGGCTGAAGCTTTATACACATGGCAACATGATGTGCATAAACAGTCTGACTGGATAAACCAATTGTGTGTCAACAGCAAGTCTGATGTTTCTATGACCTTTTATATAAAAATTTTGTTTTAAAAAGAGCACTTAAACTCTGTTATAAAATGCCAAATTGCCCATTATGTGCTTTGGAATATTACAATCTCAAGAGTTCAAGAAATTGTCATTCTGAAAGTATTCATAGTGATATTTTAACTATGTGAAACTAGGTAGATCTCAATTTAAAAGCACACAGTAAAAACTGAACTTCCAGTTCTTGACAGATTTATACCAGATCTAGAAATTGCTCTATTTGAGTCTCAGGAAATGGATGTAGCAGCAACTAGTAGCCCATAGGGAAGTGAAGAGATTCTGAAAGGTAAGGAAGCCTGAAAGCTGTCTTTTGAAATTATTTAGAGAAAACTGAATATTAAGAGATGCAATTTATATTTTTTCAAACTTGACAGTATAAAAAAAATACATACCTCCTTCTTCATCCTGTAATACTCATCGATGGCATACTGGTATTTTGGTGTACTTATCCCCAAAACAGATGCAATCTTTTCCCCAAGGAAATCACACACTGAAAATAGAGAGAGAAAAGCTTTTATATGGAGTCTTTATATTTAATTTGCAGAGTTCTTAAGGGAAGTTCTACCTTAAAAGATCTTCCCAAGATCTTGCTCCTTGTTTATACTGAGTTGTAACTACTTAATTTAATGGCAAAAATATCTATTCACCATTTATTCCAGCTTGTAGTGCAGAGCCAACCCAGCTGGGAAACCCTACCCCTTAGGTGTGGTGTGTCAAAGATACAGCCCATGGGCCTGATCTGCCCCATGGAGCCCCATCATCTGGCCCCTGGTGCTGCCCCTGGGTCCAGAGTTCACCCACATGCAGCACCTGCCCTGGATCTATACTGCAAGCTGCACCTCCTGCAGCCATTTCACAGTGGGCACCACGTGCAGCATGGATCCTGGACTGGCTGGAGTGGGCACTGCATGCAGCATAAGTCCCAGACTGGTCCCACATGGGCACCCTATGCAGTACTGACCCAGACCAGCCAGAGCTAGTGCTGTGCACGCTGGATCTGGCACGGTGGGGGAAGGAAGAAGGGCAGGTCCATCAGCCCAGTCTGGCTCGTGGGGCCAACCACACACCAGTTATCTGGGTAGACCACCCCCACTTATCTGGTGTGAGGGAAATTGTTTATTAAGTTCCAGTTAGTTTCACCTGTGCCCACAAAAACTGGAGTTGCACAGATGTCTGTCCCAGAAAGTAGAATCTGTGTGTTCAGTAACAGTGTGCAAAAAGAAAAGAATCCAGCTTACAGCCAGGTCCCATTTGCAAGAGCAGCAGTTCAAGAAGCATTTTCTTTTTTTAAAAGTAAGCGCATTTAATGTAGAAAACAGAAACAAGAACACAGAACTTCACAGTGCCATTTTCAGAGAGGAAATGTACTTGAACGTGTAAATTCGCTGAATGATCAGTCTCAACACACCATGTCTTTCATCTATAAAATTATGCACATAAATTTATTAACATATCTTGTTACCATAACTGTGTGCAGCTATTTCTAAAAATGCTGGAATGAATGAACATGCAGGAGACAGGAAGTTAATGAAAAGAACCGAATAATATGAACATCTGACTGCAAATAAGCTACCTTTAATTTCGTAATGCAGCACTTCTGCTTTAATGGATCCCAGGGCAGAATAAAACAAGCCTGAGTATAAAGGTTAGATTTAAAATTTGCCCATCAAGTGTCTTGAGCAACACTTACAGCCTACTAATGTGAAAGACTCAGAATGTATATACTGATAAATGCAGATTCTGGGCCAACAGCCACTTAACACTATGCACTCTATATTGCTGCATAGTCACCAAAGTTCAAGTCACCAAAGGCTACCTTTGCATTGCATAGTTCAAGTCACCAAAGGCTACCTTTTGCTTCCCTTCTAACAAAGCGACAGACCCAGGGCCAGAATGCCTGCAGCATGGGGTACCACAGCCAAGGAAAGCATAAATTCATAGACAAAAGGACCATAAACTGCTTAGTTAATTAACATCCTCTGATTAAAGGAACTGAGAAACCAGCAACTGGATAATTCTTCAATGGAACATAACACCAAGGAGGTAGAATTACACTTGATTTTAGCTTAACAAGATAGGCTGTACAAAAGATACAATGGCCCAATGAGTCAACAAGTCAGTTCCTTCATAGTGAGATAGAACAAGCCTGCAGAAAGCCAATTGATACTCCTTGGACTAGCTTACACATTCAAATACATTTCCTCTCTGAAAATGGCACTGTGAAGTTGTGTTCTTGTTTCTGTTTTCTACATGTGCTTACTTTTAAAGTAGAAAATGCTTCTTGAACTGCTGGTCTTGCAAATGGGACCTGCAAGAAGAACCAATAGCACACGTACAGGCTGGGGAACTCCCCTCTTGCCAGCACAGAGACAGAAAAGGATCCTGGAGTCATTATTGACTCAAAGATGAACATGGGCTGCCAATGTGGGGATGCAGTCAGAAAGGCTAACCGCACTTTGTCATGCATCCACAGATGCATCACGAGCAGGTCCAAGCAGGTGATCCTCCCCCTCTATGCGACACTGGTCAGGCCCCAGTTAGAGTACTGTGTCTAGTTCTGGGCGCTGCACTTCAGGAGGGATGTGGACAACATGGAGAGGGTCCAGAGGAGGGCCACTCGCATGATCAGGGGGCAGCAGGGCAGGTCCTATTAGGATAGGCTACAGGATCTGAACCTGTTCAGCCTCCACAAGAGGAGGCTGAGAGGCGATCTGGTGGCCGTCTATAAACTTGCCAAGGAAGACCAGCAGGCAATAGGAGAGTCCCTGTTCCCCCGAGCACTATCGGGAGTAACAAGGAACAACGGCCATAAGCTGACAGAGCAGATTCAGGCTGGATATCAGGAGGCACTACTTGACAGTCAGGGCAGCTAGGATCTGGAACCAACTTACACGGGAAGTGGTGCTCGCTTCTACCCTGGGATCTATAAGAGGAGGCTAGACAATCACCTTGCTGGGGTCGTTTGACCCCAGTACTCTTTCCTGCCAAGGCAGGGGGTCAGACTTGATGATCTGCTCAGGTCCCTTCCGACCCTACTAACTATGAAACTATGACTAGTTTGCCTTAAAATATAAATTAACCAATACCTGATAAGGTTGATGTAGCAACTCTCAGCATCTGAAACCACAAATAGGGTCCCCAGGTAAGCGTTGTCTGTAATGATAATCATAACTTTTATTACACAAGACAGACTGATCATGCAAGAAAAAGAAACCATCAGATATAGAGACAGAAATTATGCAGGAGAAGTAACAGGAAAAATCTCTTGCCCTGTTCCTCTGACCTAGACTCAGGTCTCAAAGATTTCTTAAATTAGTTTCTCCAGCAGGCAGTCCTGGCAGCTGGAATTATTCCTTAAGCACAGGAGTTTCCTAGACCAAATTTCTCCTCAAGAAGGATCACTTAAATACATTAAAGAGGTATGTCTTCATCTTTATTTTTCTATTCAGTTTTCAGGGAGCATGTGTATTATGCCAATGATTTCCTCCCCCTCAGACAGACTGTCAAATTAGGTTTCCTTCCTAATTCAAGATTATAATTCAAGGAGGATAACAATTTATATAACTTTGCATATGATTTAAGATAAAATTCTAATCATATTTTCTCTCAGCTATTATTTATTCATTTCAAGAAAGTGAAAAATATGAATCTCTGCATGGGATTTCCTTCTTTCAAAGACCCTGGTCTGAGAAATGGGATTTTCCTGTTAAGTGTTTTTTCCTCTGAAATGCAACTGGTTATTTTTTTTGAAGGTTAACCTCTACTCAGGTGAATGCTGAGAGTCTTGCCACTTTCGTGTTTGATAAAAATGCATGCCAGTTCAGTTCTAGGTTCATATTCTAAAGCAATGATTCTCAAGCAGGGTGATGTGGCACCTCCAGCTGCCCTGAGAAAAACATTCAGAGGTGCTGTGGGGTGCAACATAATGTTAGCACTTTTGGTCCGCAAACATGTTTCACAAAATAAACCCAGAGATTTCAAGAAGGAATCCAGTGTTAAAAAACATTCTGACCTGTTGTGGTCTTTCTGAGTTCTTTGCAAAAGAAGAATTGCTCTATTTTTTTGTTGTCAAAAATGAGTGAAAACTAAGAGCTGGCACTTTCCAGGAGGTGTGGAGTCTCCTGAGGGTGTCTCAAGTCTTAAAAGGTCCAGAGCCACTGTTCTAGAGACTAGCCTCCACTCCTGTAAGCCAGGCTTTCTCTGAGGTGTGAACAGCCATGGTCTGAAGAGGAACATGTCTGATATCTGATACAGCAATCACATTCACTGCCCACTTTGACACATAAAAATACAAGCTACAGTCTATGACAAAAAAATGATAAAACAGAGCATAGATTTAACACTAGCTATGAACAGACTAGAAATGACATAATTTAATCCACGTTTAGGAAGCGTGTATGATACCAAGCGAACTCAAACCAACCCTGCAACTGGATATATCCATGAAACGCACCCTATCCTTTGAAAACAGCAAATGTTATCATCCATGATCCCAGAAGATGATTCATATAAGTAGAGTGACCTTACACACTGCCTTGAAGGTTTTGAATTCTGTCAAACTAACCAGAAAAATGGAACTGCACTGTTCCCACCCCCAGATAATCGCATCTTCAAACAACCTTCCCAGATACACATATAACTATAGCCATCGAGGCACTGAATGTCTTGACTCAGTCTAGCCTTTGGATTCTGTGTCAGTGGCCTAAAGGTGGGGATGGAAGGTGTGGACAACTTCCACTCCTCCATACTCCTGCCTAGGCATACATGTCAAAGGTCCTGGTGACCTCTCATGTATACACCATGACCTAGAAGGATCCATGGTTGCCTACTACTCTATTAATAGCCTTCCATTTGTTATAGGGAACTGTTAGAAGATCAAGTGTCAAGATGATTCTCAGGACAGAGGCAACCTCTAGCTCACTCAGGATTTGAACCTATTAGGGCTTTACGGATCCAAGTGATCACTGGTACAATTGTACTCAGAAGCACATGGGAAGTTAATGCACCTCGGAAACAGCTTCAAGTGGCTGGTACTACACTGATCTAGCTAGTAGCTTCAGTTAGGACAGGGTGCAGCAAGTTGTCATGAGTGTGAACAGCTATCTGACAGTGACAGAAGTACTATGTCTGTAACTATGTCTACAGAAAAATGAACATTACAGAGAAACATGGCATCTACAAGACAGAGAGAACACTGACAATGTCACTAACTGACACCTTGGGGGCATTTGGAAGTCCCAGAGTATGCCTAGGTTTCTAACCTCACTGAGAAAGGATGGGTGCATCTTATGTTCAGTGATTTTGTTAAAAAAAACAACATTTCCAATTTCCCGCTAAGTCTAACCAGAAAGGCAAGAGACTTTCACTATTGGGTGAAGGCATATCTTCGGATTTACTAGAAAATTAATAGAGATTTCTAATAAACAAAAGAACTTGTCTGAATACAGCCATGAAAGTCACCAGCTCATGAATTCAAATGAGTTTTCTTTCTTTATAAACTGTCAATAGATGGACTTCCTGCTGGAAAGTAGCAGTAAAATAGCAGCTCCCACTGGGACACACCTGTACCAGACCCAATTACGGATTTTTTTCAAACCCCTGACAAACACTGCTAAAAATAAGCTACTGGAAATTTTTTATTTCATATGTTCTTAATGAACAGGCATTTAACTATCCAAGATATCAGAACTAATCTCTATAGTTGTAAGACATTTTATACATGGGCACTAGATATTAGTGCTTTTAAGACCTCCCTCCCCCCATCAACACTTTACACAAAGCCAGCTTTTATCTTACCTTCAACATTTTGCTGATTGCCAAAAAATACATAGTGCCCAGCATTTTTTGCTGGAACTCAGGTTTCCAGTTGGCAAAGGATGTAGAAAGCATCCTGCCAAGGTGAAAAGCATAAGCAAAAACAGCTGCTGTCCTGTCTGCACAAAAGCACCTCAAGCTTGTTAATTAAGTTTTCAGTTGGCAGCTGTTCTAACAGCAGTAATTTCTGGGCTTGTTTAGTTGCAGAAGTCAGTAAACTGTGTTAGAAAGGATGTTACTACAGGTGAGAGTAATGGCACTGACAAGGCTCTGTACAGTCCTTCAGAAAAACAAGGCAACAAGGTTAAAAAGCATTCACACAGCGGTCAGGACAAACAGCTTAGAAAGCTTTTGGGTCAGCCACAAGAAAAAGTCTGCTTACGCTCCTTTAAAAATATCTGAAAGAACTGAACTTTTCAGTGCAAAAGGAATATAATAAACTAGTTAACATATTATTGTGGTGATGCAAATTCAGATACAACTTAACTGCACCTTGAATTCAGTGGTATGCACAGATTCTTTCAAATCCAACTATAACATAGTGCAGAACTACAAACTGGGTAAGCTAGAAATACCTCTGGGAAAAAAAATGACCAAGTAACTCGTCACAGAGCCCTTGCTTCCATTACAAAATGAGCCCTCAATGCAAGCACTGCCTTCCCTGGGTCAAGAAAAAACAACAACAAGCCGCCTCTATTTGAATCATTATATCCCATAATCCAAAAGTATCTCAAAGTAGAGAAAAAAAATTAAATGAGAGAGAAGCACATTCAACATGAAGAGGAAAAAATGGTTTGTGTGAAAGACTAAGAGTATGGAAAAACCCACATTTGGGTTAAAATCCTGCTTTCCTTTCCATCTTACTTGGTCCTTCAGTTTAAACAATAAGAGCTTCCAAATCTTCCTCAAGTTCTCCAAAACAATACAACCTTGGTGACAGAGAAGACTAGGACAGCTACTAGGAAACACAGTGAAGCCTTTCAGAGTAAAGTCAGAAGTATTACTACAAAACAACTCACTAAACCCTAATTTGAGCAAGAAACACCTAATTTTCTCACACACCACTTGCTCCTGGATCAGATATGCACCTTGTTTTTGGAAGGCACAATGTAGAAAAAGGTTTTTACAGTCAGGAAGCGTGGCATCCCAGGAGACAGGCTGGGTGAGGTAGCAGGAACTTCCTTGTGTTGTAGGACAGCAACAAGGCTAGGTCCTAGACTCTTGCAAGACTCTTATTTTTTTCACTTTAAACAGTTCTTTATTCAAGTTCCTATAAACAAAGTGTTGTTTCCATCAGGGTTCGAATTATGCTTTGACTTGGGGGGGGGGGGGGGTCTGCAAAAAAAAATTAAACCAGTTCATTGGAAAGAGCAATCCAACCAGAGACCACCCCCCCAGGTGATGATTTTCAAATCTTACAGGGGGCTCATCTCTTGGGGCGGGGCTCAGGCCCCCCCCAAGCTCCCCCGTAACCCATCGCCTGGTTTCCATACTGCAAGCCTTCAAGATACAACAGACTGCTGCTCCCTTGCCCTGACCCATCTTGATTGCTGCTTCTGGCACATGCTACAGTGCTCAACCAATAGTGGCTGTGAGAGGGTTAACACCTGACCCCACCCCTGCCACTTGCTGAGTCAAAACGGAGTGGAAGCCATTTTGGCAACTATTATAGCACAGCACCTCCATGCTTCTGTTCTGGCAAAGAAAAATTTAATTCCCCACTTAAATCATGCTCTGCAATTTTGGAGGGTCGATTTTGCAAGGGGGAGGTGAATGGTATGTGAGTGACTATGGTAGCTGTAATTTAAGTAGTAATAAAGGAAATACTTAGATTGGCCCTTAAGCCAATATAAAATTGAAATTCACTCTGTGGATGTCCATCTAGAAGCGCAACTGGGGCAGGGCAAGCAGGGCACCAGCCCCAGATACTAACTAAGATGGGGTGCCAGAATCAGCCCCCTCCCTCCAGGGAGTCTTTGTCAAAGAAGGGGAAGCCTGTGGAGGAGGGCGAAAGGGAGGGTCAGCTCCCAGGGAGCCCAGCCACAGGGTTACTGCCAATGGAGTGCAGCAGAGGCTGCTACAGCAGCAGTGGCAAAGTCAGCAGTAGCCCAGGAAGGTAAGTCTTCTCTCACCCCTGCACAGCACTACCCCACCTCTCCACCAGTCTACAGCATTCAGCATACCCCCATGCCCCTTATGTGCTCGATGGGCTCACTATGCTCCTGTTTAAATCCCCTATGGCTAAAGAAATCTAGATGCTTTCACTATGAGAGTTGGGTCAAGATGGGAAAGTACTTTTTTGGCAATAGAATTTTCCAGTCTGTACTGAAAGACTGATTTGCAACATAAAATACATGCTCACATAACAAGTCAGATGGAGTCAAAAGGTAGTTAAAGTATTTAACTACAGAAGGACTTTTTTTTTTTTTTTTTTTTTTTTTTTTTTTTTTTTTTTTTTTTATTTTTTTTTTTAT